AGGACCCAGGGTACTAACCCGGTGGGGTCGCTCCGATGGCTAAGTTAGTACTCTCATAGTAGATCGCAGGCTTAGAAATCACAATCTGAGAGTTAGAGCGTGCTTACTTGTTTTTGAGGCTGGTGCCTCTTCAATTCGTAATTAGAGGTAGTATCGCTTTAGGTTGCTGATGTTCCATGCCCGTGGCACTTGCTTTTCTTCTAGGGTTTCGAGTTCGTACGTACCTTCCCCTAGTATCCGCTTTACTCGGTAGGGACCTTCCCAGTTTGGTCCGAGCTTACCTACACCGGGCTCGGGTACCATAACTTTCCGGAGGACTAGGTCTCCAACGTGGAAGTGTCGCTTCCTGACTCAGGCATTATAATACTGGGCTACTTTTTGTTGGTAGGCTGCGGTCCGAATGTATGCGAGATCTTGTACTTCTTCTACTAGGTCGAGGTTGGTGCGGAGCTCGTCATCGTTTCCTTCGTCATAGGCTTCCAGGCGTAGTGTTGGTACCTCGATTTCGGCTGGGATCACTGCTTCCATGCCATAGGTGAGGTTGAAGGGGGTTTCTCCTATGGCGGTCTTGACGGTAGTTCGGTAAGCCCATATTACGCTGGGCAACTCTTCTACCCATAGCCCCTTAGCTTGGGATAAGCGAGCTTTCAGTCCACAGAGTATGGCTCTGTTCGTGACTTCTGTCTGCCCGTTCGCTTGGGGGTGTGCTACCGAAGTGAAGTTATGTTGTATCCCCATCTCGGCACACCAGTTCTGGAACTTGATATCTTCGAACTACTTACCATTGTCGAAAATGATCACTCGGGGCAGTCCGAAGCGGCACACTATGTTATTCCAAAAAAAAGTTATGCACGGTTCGAGCTGTGATTGTTGCTAAGGGTTATGCTTCTACCCATTTGGTGAAATAATCCACCGCGACGATTAAGAATTTTCTCTGTCCTGTCACTGGTGGGATTGGTCCAAGGAGGTCAATCCCCCACTGTGCGAAAGACCACGGGCTGGTGAGGTACTTCAAATCAGCAGTAGGCTGGTGATGGATGTTTATTTTCTTTTTTGGATAGGCCCAGTTATATCACATTCGTGAGTTTCAAACATAACTTAAAGTGTACTATAAGTTTTCATTTAAACCTTTAGTTGGGTCACTACGTCTCTGTGAAAGTGCTCTGCTTGCAACAACGCCCCCCCAAGCCTGCAATGACAACCACCACAAAGAACATAATGATTCTATTCTTCACAAAGCTTAACCCTTGTACACATCAAGAATGAGAAAAGAATAACATATACCTATAGGTATGACTGCTGCATCAGAGCCACCACAAAGTATCATGTCCTGCATGCTAATAGCAAATAATAAAATTATTCAAGTTTTATAAGGTAAACTCTTTCTAGATGCAACTGAAAATATAATTTTATTAATAATAAGAATAATGCTGAATCTGTATAGTGATCCCCCTGCTCCTGGCTTACCCCAACAAAAATACTTCCAAGACACCCGCCCTAGCTAATGAGTCATCCATACTATTTGTTGATCTAGGAACCCAAATGAATGAGCAGTTCAGGTTAGATCCCAAAGATCTAGCATGTCTAATCAGAAAAATGCAGTATCCATGGCACATCATCCCCAATTTTCAACCAGTTAACGACGACTTAACATTCTCCCTCAACTTGCATTCCTATATAGACAGCAGTCAAATTTTAGCCCTTATAGAGTTGCTAAAATTTCTCTCTTAAAGAATTTCTAACCCCGATGGTCTTGAAAAGCTCAAAACAATGTTTCCCCTCTCATCTCTAATTATACCCTCAATAACTAACATCAGTTGCCCAAACTGTAACCATCAGAATTTTACTATCATATTTACTTTAAATGAACACAAGAAAATGAAAAAATAAAGAGGCATTTCCAGCATAAGACCTCCAGTGAATAAAGTCTGTGAAATGAAATGGGCCACTTATAGCTTCACCTCTGGTAATATGGTTTGTAGCATTAAGTATACAAAAGTTGCTTGATGCACAAGCAGTTGAGATTGAATAATTTGGACACATCAATCCCTACAGTAATGTAATTAAAGAAACAATTAAAAGGTCGGATTCAAAATTTAGTAACCCCTCAATATTTCTATAGTATCAACTTCAAGAATTGTAAAGAGAGGCTACTTAGTGGTGGCATGTTTGCAAATAATGGGCATTTTAGCAACAATTGAAAAGAGAGGTTACTGAGTGATTCCATTTATCGCACACTCAGGCCTTGACTGTACAACATTTCCTTTTAGTATAGATAGTAACTTTTCGTTTTTAACTCATAAAATGATGAAAAAAAAAATTAGGATAAGATTATATTAAATGGTTTATTGGTTAGTGGTTAGTTACAATGAAATTGAGGTTACCCCAAAGAAAACTGAGTGCTACTCTCAGTCAGAGTTGATATAGTGCCAAAATCACCCAAATGGTGTTAAATTCGAGGCAACTGTAAATTTGATAATAGATTATGAGAAGAACAGTCCAACATTTATACTGTTTTAGAGCAAAACTAAACCTATAGAATTCAGTGGGGTTACTTTCCTTGCTGACAGAATAGGTAGGTCCTCCACACTTGGTATTCTTGATGGATTTACAAGCCATAAAAAGAAGAAAAGTGCTTACTACTTTGAATTTTTCTGATTTGAGATTTCATTCAAATTATTCAATTCTATTTACTATCCTGTAGAAAAGCATCCTCTCTCTCTATCTCTCTCTATCTCATTTCAGAAATATCCCCTTTCATTGTTTCTAAACACTAATAACACTAAAAAAGAAAGCAAGGAAATAAAAACATGCAACTCTTAACCACTTAACGGTCCCATGAAAATGTTACTACAAGAAAAAAAAAAAAAACAGGGGCAAAGCAAAGTTTTAACCCCATAATTGCAACTGCCATGACAACCACACCAACGCCAATAGCAAGTATCTTGACTTGGTTTTTTGTATCTCCCAACATCAACCGGTTCTCTGTTAGAGTTTGCAGAGCTGTTCTCGTCTTTTGAAACTGTTGCTGTTGCTACTCTTGTTCCTGCAATTACCAAACAAATATGTGAGCCAATTATGCATATCAAGATTAAAACCAAAACAAAGCCAATGTGAACCACTCCCCGACCACTAATAGATGTCTTCTGACCTTATCATTGTTGTTCTGCAATTTCTTTTTATGAGACTTCCTCAGCTTTCCTAGACCCGTGCTACTGAATCCCTTCTATGCAGTTAATAACTTGGCATTGTTCTCCTTCTCTTCTGCAATGACAGTTAATAACTTGGCATTTTTCAGTCCACTACCCGACTCCAGTTTCTTGGTGCTGTTGTTATTTGTCAATGTTCTCCTTGTCATCCTTCAAAATCTTGATTGCCTTTCGAATTGGTGTTTGCTTCTTGTTCGATGACTTCCTCAATGTCATTTGAATCTGAAGTGGTAAATGATGCCTGGAATCTGATCCAGGTGCTCCAAGGCTTAAGCCTGCTAGAACATTGGCGAGAGTTTGATCAGTAGCTGAAATCTCAAGGGACGTTGGAGCCTCAACCAAACATGGGATGCATTCCTTGGTTGCTGAAATTTCACCAATAATAGCAGTAGACTCCTCAGCCACTGTATCCGAAGCTGGCCAATACTTCTCTTTCTCTGCCTCCGGACTACACATTCAAGGAATACAAATAGGGTCTCATGTCACGAGTAGAGAAGAAAGAGGTAGTGAAGCCAGGAACGCATAATAAAAGAAACCAAGCTGAAGAAGAAATGCTTGCTTAATGAGTACAGTACTAAATGACAACAAACATTCTATAGACAGACATCTAGTGCGGTCAATGCAGGAAACAGCCCGGGAAATAAAACCCGGTTGTCATAGCAAATGACCAATGAAAAAGAGTGGTTGGTTTAGAACCAGATGAAGGAAAGAAATATGAGTAAATTTGAAATAGGTACCCCGAGAATCCACAGAGGTATCGTCAGAGGAGCGATCCAAATCGGCCAGGCTCCCTGAAAATTAAGCAACATTACATTCCGATGGCAAGCAGCATACTTGCCGATACGTTCGAAAGAAAAGAAATTAAGCAACATACCTCTGTCTTCCTAGACTTCATCTTTTACACCACTGAAGCAGCATACATCTGTCTTCCTGGACTTCATCTTTTACATTACTGATCGATTTGGGCGGTTCATTGAGCGAAAGACAGTTTAAAAAATAACAGATGATTCTTCGCATGCCTTGTTTTCCTTCTTCTTCAAACCTTCAGTCTCTTCCTCAGATAGACAACTCGGCAATCTTAATATTGCAGGGTACTCAGATGTTCCAGGGAACACGTTCACTTTGCGGGAGACAAACCGTTGGTGGACAGTTGCAATCGGAGTGGGAATTCAATTGCATGAAACAGTTTGTGGAGATAAAATTGCTGGATCGTGGCTCGTGGGAGATACAACCGTTTTTTTCCTATTTCTATTACACTATTACAGTGAGAGTAAATGAAAATGTGAGAATGACATATTTACCATTTATGCTTTTCCTATTCAAAGTTTAGAATGAGGGTATTCTCTGTCCAATGAAAATTCCAAAAGCCAGTATACGCTGTTCGCACTTTAATATATTATAGATAGTATAATAGATAAATGGGAATGCTCTCACTATCCGTCTGAATCCCCATGCCATTGGGTGAGTCAAGTAACTTTATTAGGCATTCACCTCTACACCAGTCGACGATATCCCAAAATTTCCTCCAATCTGGGTCCCATCTACAGATTTATTTATGCGTGGATTGTGGAGTGTGGATGCATTATGGCAATTGGCTTTTCTTCAACCTAATGGGTTTAAGCGAGACGGGATCAACTCTTCACATAGGGCGCATTACACCGATCTTATACATCCCACCATATTTATACAATATTATTCATTCATGGGAGATGTTATCAATGCATAATGAGATGAACATGTAAAGTCGGTGTGAGGCGCCCTATGTGAGGAGCAGATCCCAATTCGCTTTATGCGCATTAATTGGTTGGGCTCGGCCCTGATCCTGAACTAATTATCGCTGAAGTGGATATATATATAATATCCAAACAATCACGTAATTTGGTTTCTCAAAATTTCCCACCATTACCAGGACGCTTTTACGGCAGTGAAGTCGACTGCCAAGAAGGGCCGTCGGTGATCGCTATACATTGGCTTTCGCAGTCTTTAGATCTGTGGCACTACTCTCAATACGCCATTGAAACTGAAATTTCCGGTCAATATCCTCTTCGCTTACCAGATTACAGAGAGAGAGAGAATGGCTGTGAATCGGACTGGTTTATGTAGCCCCGGCGTGTTGAAGGTGGCTTTAGCTGTGATGGCTATGTGCTTGGCCGGATACATAGTGGGTCCGCCACTGTACTGGCACGTCACCGAAGGTTTGGCTGCAGTTCGCCACGCCTCTTCTTCTTCTTCCGCTTCTTGCCCTCCTTGCAATTGTGATTGCAATTCTCAGCCCCTTCTCTCCTTGCCCGAAGGTGATCTTCCCTAACCCAGTAGATCTGTTTATAATAGTTCTTATTTGTTTAATCTCTAAAACCATTTAGGTTCCTTCCATAATTTTTTTTTAATTCGATGTCTAATCGAGTATAAGTCAGTCTTTTCCAATCTAAAATCGAGAGCCGATGGTATTAGTAAATTTCGATTTGGTAATAATTTATTTTAATTCGTACCCCATAGTCTGCGAGAAGCCTCATTGCTATAATCGAGAGCCTTGACCTCAATATCGTTGTTGTAAACTGAAACTTATTTTGGAACCATTTTGAGGGCAACTATGCATTTACCATTTTGATTTGCACGGCCCCTTATTTATGAAAATAGTAGAGCTAAGCTATTCTTTCAGATGACGGGTTTTCTTCATATGTAGTTATTCCGGCTAGTTATTTTCTGAGGCATGGGAGCGCATGCTCGTGCTAAAGATTTATGACTCTGGATTTTGTTTTCTTACTTTTTTATAACATCTCTTTTTTGTCCAAACATGAACAAAACAATTACATGTCATGGATGAAGTAAGTGCTGTTAAACATGGAGTGTGTTAGGTCTTGGTATGGAATCAATTTTGACATATCTCGGAATATAATCTCAAAACATGCACAAAATGCATGGAAATTGTGTTTTCATTTCTTTGCTGATTGATGTAAAAATTATATATTCTTAATGTACTTGGTTAACATCATCAAAGATATTATTTTGTACGTTGGGCTTCTTTATATAAACCACCAATGCAAAGCCTATCCAAGGCTTCCTTTTTGTATTTTTGAGAATTGCATTTCTCCACTTATTGTTTTTTTTTTTGTATTTTAATTGCTTCTCACTTGGTCAGCATGTGCTCATTTTATTTTATGTTTTGTGTTTGTACTTTCCATGCAGGGTTAAGCAACTTCTCCTTTACAGGTTAGTGTTCCTTGTACAAACCTGGGGAGGTAAAATGGATTGATTTGATATACGAAACCAGATTTTCTATTAGTTCTTGGCTGATATTTATTAATCTCATATGCACCATTGCAAATGCAAGTAATGTCAGATATATTATCAGCATTATCATGTAGTTAGTTTTTCTTTTTTTAGTTATTGTGTATTTAATTTGGAACTTTCACAATTATAAGCATTAGGTAATAAGATACATGTCCGCCATTATGTACATTTTCTTTTAAAGTGGAAAGCCTTTTCCCCTTCTATTTGGGGGTTAAATTTGCTTAACATTGAGGTTTCTAAATTATTATGTATAAACTAGAGCCAATGTGGTCACTTTCAGCCTTGTTTGGATTATATGTTATGCATTTAGGCATCACCCATTCCTTTCAGCCTCTAAGCATAGCTTGCATGTATGATCATTGAAGGTCATACTTCATCCAGTCAACCTGTCAACAGTGAGGTATTCAGAAAAAAACAGTTGCCTTTATGATTTATGAATGGAATTTTGGAGAGGACTGATGGTACACAAAATTTGGTAATAATGGAAGTTCCCATGGTGCAGTGTAGCTACCTAGAAAAGAGTGAGTGACCTGTAAACATGCCTGAAGGATAAAGGATGATCCATCCAGCTTCTAGCATCAAGCTGGTTCACATCTAGGGGATGGTTTTGATATCCCTTATTTTTGATGCCCCAGTTGTTAAAGTCTTGGAGGAACCTTAAGTTCAATACAATCCCTTGATTAGGACTTAGGATCTCTTGTAAGACTCATGACTACGGCATCTTTGTTGTCTGTAGCCAAATGAGGATGGAAAACCACCATGCAAGGACCTATTAGACAATTTTGCTGATAAATCATATAATTATTCTCATCATCCCTTTAACTCATATCACCATATCCCTCCAACTTAACCCTACATTGAATTTCCACCAGAGATAGGAATTTTGACAGAGAATTGCTTCATCTAGTCTCGTGAGACATGGGGAGATTGTATTGGAATGCAGAAGGAAGGCATACTAGCTAAGAATCTTCAGTTTACCTCTTTATCTCTGGATTACTAAGGTGGTGGAGAAGACTGGGGATCACTATGGAGGCTATCTAGAGACTGACAACTCAGATTCAGCTAAAGAAACATCTTAATGGATCAAAATTAGAGCAAAATGCAAGGCTATCCCCCAACTTCGATAAAGGTGTTAGACAGGGACACGATGGTAGAAGTAACCATATGGCCTAAGATACTCCCAGAGCGAAGGGCAAAACCAACTAGTTGCATTGACTCCATGCCTGTATTGCAGGAGTGGATTTGAAAGTCACTGGCAGGCTTAGACATCTCAGTGGATGTGGGGAGAAGATTAAAGGGAAAGGAAGTGCTTAGAGAGGAAAAGTTGGGATGGGTGGTCAAGGTCGGGAAAGGTGGTAGAGACATGGTGAAGCAGGTGGTGGAGGTGAATGAAGGGACCCACTAGGCCAAGCTCAGGGGTGATGTTGTGGGTTCTAAGAGCTTTGACTCTGTAAAAGAAAGGATGACCATCGAACCGGCCTGTGGAGAGGACACTTAACTGATGCTTGGAAATACTTGGTGAAATGGGGATAGGGAATTGGAGCCGATCTGAACACGTGGCAAGAAGGGAGCTTAACCCTAGACTAGATCTTGCCCCTGGCCTTAACCCTATTTGTGCATCAGATATGGGATGGGCATAAGAAATTGGGGACGTGTGCTCATGAGACCGAACCACTCTTTGTTGAGGGGGAACACCTTGTTCTAATGACCAAGTTGGGGTCAACCCAAGAGCTCGGTGGTCCAACCAGCTCAGGTCTCAGTCCAATCCACAACCAGCCCAACCCACAACCTCGTAACTCTATTAATCAAAAAGAGGGTCTTTCATCCCGATTTCAACCTTCGCCTCCCCTAGTTGAAGAAGCTATGACAAATGCCAGCCTTTTGATGACTGAACAAATTGCTTGAGGTTTTCAAAGGGAGCTACCATTGAGAGCCACCATTATGGAAAAGAATGCTACTCAGGGCACCCAACAATTAGAGGCTTCCTCTTTGATAGATGGAGAACTGATGGGTCCCAATGAGTAATAAAGCAGATTTGGCCTTAGTACTTCATGGAGATGATACGAAGGATTTGGAAGACAACATTGAAATGATAGAGGTGAGTCCCCTTGTCATTAGTTTCAGCCAACTGGCTCATGGTGGGAGAGGCTTCAAATAGTTCACAGAAAGGAAGATCAAAGAATGGATAGGAGAACTTGGCTCTAACAGGAGGTGGATCTATTGCTGAGCCTTCTTCTTGGGTTTTTTCTAAGTTCATGGAATTTGGTGTGTTTCTGGGGTTGTCAATCAGGGGTATGGAGGAAGAAACTTTAGCCTTCCTAATGGATGTGGAAAGAATGTTGGAACAAAAAGGCAGGAAGGGCAGGAAAACACAAAGAGAACTTTTTAGGCTTGTGTGGGGGTTAAATGATATCGCAAGAGCAGTGGCAAGAGTTGGAAAGGAGGGTAGGAGGGGGGAGGACCGCCCCTTAAAGAAGTCGATCTCTTCTCCCTTAGACAAAATCCGGGAGTCAGCCATGAAGATAGTCTCTTGGAATATACGGGGCCTGAATTCTGGTCGCAGAAGAATGGTGGCAAGCTCTTATGTGAAACCTTGGGAGGCAGCTATTCTTTGTTTGCAAGAAACTAAGATGGAACTTGTGGAAGACCACATTATCAGAAGTATTTGGTGCGACTGTAGCTGTGACTGGGTATCTCTACCGAGCTGTAGGGACTTAAGGGAGTTTGGTAGTCATCTGGGATAGATCTGATTGGAGTGAAGGACACAGAAGTGGGGAAATTCTCCATCTCTCTATGGTGCTACTTATTAAAGGATGGCTGGGAGTTCTTTCTCACCTCTATCTATGGCCAAATGATTGATAGATTGAGGGAAAGTTTCTGGGCAGAGCTTGATGGAGTTAGATAAAGAAAGGGGGGGGGGGAGTCCAGAGTGAATAGGGGAATGATTGGTTTTGCTGATTTCATGACTAGATGGGATCATGGGAACTGGTGGATTTGCCTTTAATAGGAGTCGAGTTCGTGTGGACAAATAACCAAAAACAAGCAACTTTAGTAAAACTGGATTGTTTTGTGATCTCTTCAGAGTGGGAGGAAAAGTTTCCAAACCTCTCTCTTGAGGCTCTTCCAAGACCCTTATCGGATCATACACCAATTTGTCTGGACTGTTTAGGAATTCAAGCAAAAGCATCTCCTTTTAGGTTTGAAAACCTATGACTACAAGAAGAAGGCTTTGTGGACCAGTTGACAAAGTGGTGGGGGGGAAACACAAGTGGAAGGTTCGGCTAGCCACATTTTCAGCAAAAAACTGAAAGCTCTAAAAGGAAAAATATAAGTGTAGAAATTTGAAGTCTTCAAGGGGCTGGAGAAGAAAAAAGCAAGTTTTTGGAAGCAATACAAGAAGTAGAAAGGGTAGAGGAGGAAGGTCAGATATCAGAAGAGCAGAAGAGCACAAGACTATTTGCTAAGTTAGAATTTGATATGGTGGCCTTCCAAGAAGAAACTAAATGGAGACAAAGAGACAAATGTCTTTGGCTCAGAGAAGAAACTAAAACATGTGCAGTAGAGTTTTTCTGAAAATCTCTATAAAGTAAATTGGAAAATTAGACATAATATTGATGACCTGGATTTTGAGGGGATTTCAGAGGAGCAGGCAAGGGAGTTGGAAAAGGAGTTTAAAGAAGAGCAAGTGAGAGAAGCAATCATGGAAATGAAAGGGGAAAAGGCTGTGGGACTAGACGGTTTCACCATGGCTTTTTACAAGTGCTGTTAGGATTTCTTGAAGACGGATATAATGATGGTACTAAAGGAATTTCACACTTCTGCAGCTTTGGAAAGGAACTTAAACCCAACTTTTATTTCTCCTATTCCAAAGAAAAAGGAGCAGAAGAGCTTAAGGATTTCAGGCCAATCAGTTTAATAGGGAGTATGTCCAAAATCATAGCCAAAGTGTTATCAAAGAGGCTGAAATTCATTCTGAACTGCATCATTTCTGAGAGTCAGGGTGCTTTTGTGGAAGGAGATTGATGGTGAATGGGGTCCTGATTGCAAATGAACTTTTAGACTAAGGCTGAGAAGTGGTAGGGCTGGACTACTTTACAAAGTGGACTGGGAAAAGGCGTTTGATTATGTGAACTGGAACTTTTTAGATTATATCCTTGGAAGAATGAACCTTGGACCTAAATGGAGAAATTGGATGAAAGTGTGTTAACACATCCCCTTTCCTCTTCATTTGCATTATGGAGGCTCTCAGTAGAATGGTGAAAAGGGCTGCTACAGGTGGTTTTATAGAAGGTTTTGAACAATGTTTAAAAGGTGGAGGCGTGATGTGAGGCATTCCACTACCTAGAGGCGTGATGCGAGGCGTTCCACTACCTAGAGGCATGAGGCGTAGTTTAGAATGTAAGAGGCGTAAGCCTCCTTAAGAGGGGGGGGGGGATGAGGAGGAAGGGGGCGTTAGTTCACCTTTTCTTTCCCACTTTCTTTCCCCTTAAGAGGTGTAGGAACTATCCCAATGGGCAGATGAATTGGGATGTAAGATGGGAAAGTTATTTATCAAAAACAAAAAAGATGGGAAAGTTACCTCTAAAATACTTAGGATGCCTTTGGGTGCAAGGTGCAACTCCAAATCTATTTGGGAGCCAATTATTGAAAGAGTTGAGAAAAAACTCGCCTCCTGGAAAGCAAAATGCATCTCCTATGGAGGTAACATTACTTTGGTGAAAAGTGTGCTGTCCTCCCTTTGTATTTACTCTCAATGTACCTGATATCCTCAGGAATGGCCAATCCTAGAAAAGAAAATGAGGGATTTCCTTCGGAGAGGTTGGGAAGAAGAAAAGATGTTTCATCTAGTTAATTAGAGCAAAGTATGCAGACTGAAAACCCAGGGTGGTTTAGGGGTGAGAAGAGTCAAGGATTTCAATACTTCCCTTCTAGGAAAATGGTTTTGTTGTTTTGGGGAAAATCAAGGGGGTTCGTGGAGAAGAGTGATCCTTGCCAAGTATGGCGACAGAAATCTAGGGTGGCACCCAGGAGCTGCTAGCCAGTCCTATGGATGCTCTGAAAAGGTTTTTGGTGCTTTTGCAAAAGGGGTGAAGTTTTGGAGGATGTTTGATGTGGAGAAAGGCCATTGGCAGAAGCTTTCCCTAATCTCTTTGAGGTGGCAGTGGATAAAGAATCCAAAGTAGCCAACTGTATGTAGCTGCAAGATGGAAGTGTGGTGTGGCTTCCTCATTTCAGAAGAAATTTAAATGACTGGGAAGTGGACGCATTGATGGAAATGTTGCATCTGCTATACAACACAAGTAGAAATTGGGAGGGCTGACTATAGAGTTTGGAAATGGGACAAGGCAGGAAAGTTCACAGTCAAATCTTTTCACAATGCTTTAACCTTCAGAGAAGAGCAGTTAGTTCCTGCGAACATCATTTGGTGCAAGAATTTTCCCTCAAAAATTGCTTTCTTTGTCTTGACTGCTTAATTAAACAAAATCCTAACCAGAGGTAATCTCCTGCAGAAGGGAATGCTTTTGGACTCATCAGATTGTGTTCTTTGTGAAGGCCACTCAGAATCTCTGGACCACCTGCTGTTACATTGCCATTTTTCTGCTGTGATATATGGTGGTCCAGAGTAGCTCAACCTTTTGAGGTGCAAAGCTGTTGCCCAGGATCAGTAGCGGGGTTTTTAAAAGGATGGAGGGTGGAAGGTCTGAGAAAAAGAGGAAAACTCATCTGGAACATAATCCCAGTGGTGGTGTTTCGGTGCTTATGGCAGGAGAGAAATGCAAGAATCTTCAAAAATAAGATTTGCTCTTCAGATTTTGTTTTTCAGAAAGTTTTGGGGAAAATACACTCCTGGCTAATGGCACATTCGTTTTTTAAGAATATATGTTTCAATTCCCTTTTTATATATGAAAATCTGTTTGTAAAGCAGGTTGGGGGCTGCCAGGGCAGTTTTTTTATTAGTCCCTGTGTACATCATCTTGTTGTACATGTTTGTTTTTCTTAATATATTCTTACCATAGTTGTCAAGGTGATGCCTAGGCGACAAGGTGCCCTTTTTTATTTTTTTGATCAATAACATCAACTTCATTAAATTAAGAGAATAGAGGGAAAAGAATAGAAAGGGAGATAAAATAACTTATCTCCCCAAAAACAGAAAACACAGGGAATGCAAAGAAAATTAAAAACTAGCCCAAAAAACAGCCTCCCTATTCACTCCTTGCTTGGCCAACCCATCCGCAAATGAGTTGGCACTCCTCTTCACCCAGCTGTACTGAATCTCAATGTCCCTACCCAGCCATAAGAACTGTTTTTTTTTTAATTGTTGTTAAAGTTCCACAAACCACTGTCCTCTGTCTTCAACCAATTAACCACCACCTTCGAGGCGCCCTTTTGAGGCTCGCCTCGTCTAATCGCCAAGCAGTTTTGTACTATGGTCTATGTATTGTAAAATACTTTTTTATACTTTATTTTTTGACATTATAATTATAAAATAGGCACTATTAAACTAAAATATTCATTTTGTGTGTTTATATACTAATTTCTTTTTATTATTTTCTCATTTGTTAAGATTTAATCAATACAAACATTGCTAAATGCTGTATTGAACCCTCAAAGACTTTAAAACCTGAACCAATAAGGAAGAACTTAAAATTTTGTCTAATCAACACATTTTCTACTACTACTATTACTACTACTATGACCTTTTCTTTTCATCTTTTCCTATAACAAAAATAAGGGTTCAGCCCCCCTATATTTTTTGAATTTTCTTTTCCTTCGTTTTTTTTTTCTTTTCATGAATATGTTGATTTACTATACTTTAACATCAACTCTATACTTTTCTTATGAAAATTATGAATAATTATTAAGGAAATATTGCTATGGTGCCTAGGGAACTACCCTAGGATTTATGTTTTCTATATAAAAAAATCCATCACCTAGGCGACAAGGCGCCCCCCTGACGCCCAGCCTCACCTTGGTGTCTTGAAAACTATGATTCTTACTTTACCTCCTCTCTCTTTTTTCTTTCTTTTCTTTTTTGGAGGGGGGTATGGGTAAAATTGTATGTTCTCAGGTCTTTTTGATCGCTCTCTAGCATTTTTGCAAACCTTCAACTTGCATTAGATTACTCCTTACTGTGCAGTAGGTGATTTTCCTGCACTTTAGACGTTACACTGTTATACCTCTAGGTGGCTTCTAGTTCTATGATTCTAGTATTGCCTCTCATTTATCTTGACACTCTTATCACTACTATATTATTCTATAAATTTTGTGCTTTTTGATTGCCCTATGCTCTGCCCCTATAACATTGTTGGTCTTACAGGTCTCATGCATAATTTTGCTTTTGATCTGATTAGTTTCCCTATTACACCACTCTAGACATGGCTGACATGCCTTGGCACTAATTTCATCCCAATCAAACTATATGAACAACCTCCTCTTCAATCTCTCCCTATAAATTATCAAACTAATATAATACAAATAGATGCTTTGAGGTATCTTTTACTCCTGTTATTCTAAATTTGCATAGTGTCGCGTCAGATAGACTTTTTTCTTTATTGAAACGTATCTGGAGAAAAGACAGGAAATATTTAATTACCTTTGACTTCTTGATTCTTCTTTAGGCCTTTTTTCCCTCTGACATAAAGGGTTCTATTAAGATGGGGGAGACTGGGAGAGTAGTCTTTCTATGCTATTGCTATAATTCCTTTAGTTCCATATTTATAGCAACATTTCTTATTTGATATAGTAGGATATTTTTCCAAGCACCGATGTAGCTGGGAATGACATTGGGTAATGACCTTTTTTGTGTTAGTATATTTCACCATATGTGTAGGTAGGCGTGATTGAAGAATATGGACAGACAGTTTTTTCTTGTATGTATGCCTCTGTATATACATGTCCAATGTGTAAAACTTCATCTTTTTGACAGGGTACACATGCTTAAAAATATTAATGACGCATTTGTGGGAGTTATTAAGTATAGGTTACTGAGATATCCTCTTAATATTTATCAGTAATGGTAAGCTCAATCTGTTACTTTATTAATTAGATAAAGCTTTAGGAATTTATTTATGATGGACTGTCCATGGTATGACCATCCTATAAGCTCAATCTGATGAAGTGCTTGACTAGGAACATACAAATCAAGGTTCAATGAGTTGGTAGTAGAATGGCAAATGGTATGGTTGATATCTTAGCCAAGCAAAGGGCAAATAGAAACCTGGTTTTCGGGGCTGAACTCTAAAATGTGCAATGGGGGAGAGAGCTGGCACTATGCTCCAATGGGTTGTCTCTTGTATAGTTTATCTCCAAAGTGGTATATTTTTGTAAATTACAATTAATGAAATGTTGTTATTACTGATAAAATAAAAGGGGTGTAATACACAAAATTATACCTAAAGTCTAAAGCACTGTTCACCAATGGATTGATATCTCATTATTGTGGGTTTGTCAAGAGGACCAGACCGGACGGTTGGACCAGTTGACCCAGGAACCAGTCATGAGTCCAGGTCTGGTTTTTGACCCCAAAACCATCCAACCTGGGTTTGGACCAGATGGTCAGACTGTTTGACCTGGGAACCGGTAGCCAAAACAGTTCCATTTCCGGTCCGGTTTTCAAAACCATGAACAGAACTATCCATGAGATGAAAGAGAACTCTCTCTCTTTCTCATTCACACACATACACACACTCTTTGTTTATTTATTTACATACAAATGCAAACAGAGATAAGAAGATTCGAAGAAAATGCAAAAGCAAGAGAAGGGAGGTGGTAAATGCTCATGGAATTAAACTTCAGGTAGATAACATTTTTGAAGAAAAGAAAAAGTATAATTTACAAATATGGTATAAGAGTGGTAATTACACAGGAAACCCATATGGTCTATATCCTTGAGAAGAATAGAAGAGACCAACAAAATTGCCCAAATTTATCTCCATATAATCTTCCCTTAGTTGAAGAAATGTCCCAGATAGAGTGGGAACCAATGTTTTGAAATCCAGACTGGGCTGACTGGATGTACTGGGAACACACCCCATTATGGTTCAATGATAACTGGCCGGTTTTGGAGGTTCTGAAGTTAAAAACCCAGCTAAATCAGGAAAACCTGGTAAATTCCTTTCTGTTTGATATCTGATAATAGTTTCCAAAACATTGGTGGAAAGCTGTCATATATAGGAAACTTCTACTCATAAATTTCTAGTGATTACTCCACAAACTCGATGGACTAACTCATGCTTGTTATAAAACTTTTTACCTAGTGGAATTTGGCTGTGATGTGAGTGAATATATAACCATAAACTTGTTGATTTTATTAAATTATTTGGATGTTTCTGATAAAAAAAACTTTGGATGTTGCAATCAGTTCTTTGACTGTAGCATCTCTCATTTTGTGCAGACTGTGCAAAGCATGATCAGGAGGTAAACGAAGACATGGAGAAGAACTTTACAGATCTATTGTCAGAGGAATTGAAGTTACGGGAAGCTGAATCATTGGAAAACCAACAACGTGCAGACATGGCATTACTTGAGGCTAAGAAAATGGCATCTCAGTATCAAAAGGAAGCAGACAAGTGCAATTCAGGGATGGAAACCTGTGAAGAGGCGAGGGAGAAAGCTGAAGCTGCATTAGTAGCACAGAAGAAATTGACTATAATGTGGGAGCTTAGGGCACGGCAGAGAGGTTGGAAGGAAGGAAGCACACAGTCTCATGCTCAGTCTTGAATGGATGTCCAGGTGATGTATAGGCTATTCAAGGGAAATATATTAGGATGATCTCAAGGGCCTCTTTCGTCAACATTACCTACTCTTATTGATGAATGACAACATTCTCAATAGCACACCAAAGATGATAATTTGGTGGGGGCTAACATGGAAGAGGTTGTAGGCTATATTGTGATTAGTGAATCTCACAAATCACAATTGGTTCACTCAATCCGAATTATTGGTTATTATCTTTTTTCTGGTTGGCATAGTAATATCTCCTAGTCAGTTTGGCTTCTAGAAGCTTGTTATATGTAAAAGAGCCAAGGCTCCAAAAGTGTTCAGCACGTTTCTTACTTTTAAGTTTACAAAGAGCAAGGGTCATCTGTCTTCTTTTAATGTTTTTATATAAAGCCTTGGTAAGGAAGTTTCATGAATCAGCAAAAGAAGGAAAAACGCAAACAAAGCGAGACAAGAAAACTAACAAAAACAACAAAATACAAACAAAGACCAATCAAGGAGGATGTGACTGACTTGTGAGCCTCTAGAGTCTGAAGCCATCCTAAGGTCCTCATCCAAAAGATCAACAAGCCATCTGGGAGTTGATTTTACATCCAATAATAATATGTAATTGGCACAGGGAATTTAGAATTTACCTTTTATGAAAATTTCCGCAAATTTTGTTCTAGTTGATTTTACATTACAAAATGATACAGTATGACTGAATCAGGATTAGCCTGTACATGATTTGCATCAGGACCAATGATATTTTGCCCCCCTATTGTAGCTAACTTAATAAAGAAGCAATATGCCTGACAAGTGACAACAACACTCTCTCCAGGACCAGGACCAATCACTATGTTCAAAGAAAACATAATTATAAAAGGTTGTACTTGGTTTTGATGGGCCTTGTGGGCCGAAAACCAAGGCTAGGCCTGGACTTTTAGTATGAATAATGTCGCAATTCACAAATGATGCTTGACCCATCTAGCACTAGCACTCTATCAGAACTTTAATTAGGTGATAAGCGTCCCAGAAGATAAAGTGCGTGTTCAAGGGTCTCTTTAAATCTATCAATTTTGAGCCTAAGATCCTGGCCGTATAGAGACGCTGAATCGGTGATTACGGGGTGATCTCGACCGTATATTTCCACGAGTGTGCTCTCGTCCGGACTGATCCGGTACTCTATGTAATGTAGACCCATCTGGCGGACCGGCCCACCAAAGTGAGCGTTGGAAGGGCGGTCCAGACCCCATGGCACCACCTGCACCAGCACGGCTCCTGCAGGCAAGAACACGGCGTTTGTGAGTCCCGTCCCATGAGCCCCCACCAGAACGCTACATGAATTCACCAACTCAGACATCTTCTGTAAGTTGGACTTCCGGCCAGGCGAAATCACGGTGACTCGGAATCCTAGTTCCTTCGCCACCCTCACCATATCACCTTCATTCAAGAACTTCATTGAATTCCTGCGTGAAATTATGATGAGATTGAGCTTTTCTATCTCGAATTCATGCTTTGTTTTCAGGTTGAATGACTCTCGAAGGAACCTCTTGAAGTCTAGCATGGAGTATCCACCCGGAATACTACTAGTGTTGCAAGAGAGGTTGTCGTGGTACTTGAGCCCAATCACAGCTCCGGGAAAGCAATGCACCCTGTCGTCTTTGCCTGAATTGATGATCCCATACCGCGATAATTTGGAAAGATAGGGACCGAATTTTCTGACCCACCAAGGCTTGAAATCAGTGATGATGAACCTGATACGGGACCGGAAATGGCGGCATGTGATGAATAGGGGGATGATGATTTCGTTGAATTCATGGAAGAGGTTGCCGGTGAGACCGCCGGAGGAGAATATAGCAGCAGGGACCTCGTGGGTGATATCACACCGCGGAGGGCTATAGCTGTTCGGTGTTCTGATCTCCACTGGAGTTACTTGTTTCATGCTGTTCTCGTCTCCCTTCTTCGCGTATGGTCGAACAGTATGACGCAAATTAGGAAGAATCTGATTGGATGACTCCAGATGAACTGTTATGGTACGCAGGTCAATCTTCACAGGCTGGTTGGCAACGCAGACATCAGAATGTAGATCAGAGTCGCATGAGAATCCGATGGTATCGAGCTCCACTCGATTTCTTCCTGTTTGCAACTATATATAGTTTCATTTTCCGTTCGTATAGAAACTAAACACACACACACACACACAGAGAACCTCGTACTAATCTTCTCAGATAGAACTTCAGAGGATCCTCCTCTTCGATGATTCCTGTGTCTCCGTCGACGTCTCTGCTACTGACGACGAATCTCTCACCCCAACCTGCTAGCCGGTGCTCCCCTTCATATCAAAACAACAAGAATTAGAAATGGGGTACCCGTTTCTAGTTTTCATCAATCAACTTGAAGTACTGAACACTATTACTTATAACAAAGTAAGCTCTATTTTAGTACTAACCAACGCTTAACAACCAAGTTATTTCTCTGAACAATATCCTCCTGTAATTAATTTGATTAATCCATATTTTATTTAATCATCGTAATCGATCAAGAAGATCAGAAAATTAGAAATGGGGGGTACCCATAATAAACCACATCAGAAACAAAGGAAAGAGGAAAAAAAGAGTCAGGTGAATTACATAAATCGACGGAGGAGATATCAGATTGGAAGAGCACGGCGTAGAGCAGAGGAAGGAGAAGTAAGGCTAAGCAAGATACAGTACAGAAGGCCAGCCTTGGTGATTCATTCGCCATTCTCCACTGACCCGGAGAACATGGTGATCATCTCAGCTGTTAAAAGAAGAGGAAGTTGCAGATGTGGAAGAATCTCCTAATACAACTACGTACAGGAAGTACAGCAATAAATAAATCATAAAAACAAAGAACATGGTGGGAAGTCCACGCTCCCTGCTACCCTGTTTCTGCTGGTTCTCTTTTATTAGATCATTTACTTGGTCTTTGTTTAGTGTTGCAGAAACTGCCTGCTAACGTGCTAATGAGGTTTTTGAATTCGTTTCTTCTTCAAGACTTGGGATTGAATCCAACCTTCACCAGGAGCAATCTGGAGTTGCAGTTGGTGGCTCCTTACCAGCTTATTCGGTTCATCAAGCAAAAAAGGAATAAAATTTTGGTAAATTGTAGATAGGTACCCTCAAAGTTTTAGGGGTATCCTGGATTTCCTGCCTGAATTTTTAAATGTGTCAATTTATTACCTAAACTTTCATAAATATATATTTAAGTCCAACTCGTGTTAATGGGAAAGGCAAAATTATAAAAATATCCATATTCTGATTTTCTATTTTCAATATTAGGCTGCATTTGGCATTTCTTATTTTAAGGACTTATCTCCTATTTATTGTTAAAATGGTCCTATGAACACTGAGATAAAGTTCTTAAAATAAAGAACGCCAAATGCATCTTATGCCTATGGACTTCAGATACAAACCAGTGGCAGCAAAGCAAGCTCACCCAGACTATTCATTGGGGATAGTCTCACTTTTGGACACTTACTTTGCCATTGTGGTTTGTGTTCAAAGTCTATAGGTAAAAGAAAGATGAACGGTAAAAAAGTAGAATCAAAATATGGGTATTTTTGTAATTTTACCCTCACCTTAATGTTAGTTTAATGGAATTGGATTTAAAGGCTCAGTTTGGAAGCAGTATAAATATAAATATGTATATAGGTTAAGAAATGTAAAATAAAATGTACATATTTTTATTTGCACTCTTTCCAAACTAAGCCTAAATGTATATTTTTTTTGGAAATTCAAATACTAAAGTGGCACATTTGAAAGCTCAGGAATTAAGAATAGAATTTTTTCTAAAATATAGGGTACCTATCTGCAATTATCTATAAATTTTTGCATCAGTTTTTGTGATAGATGAAAAGGTTAAAAAAATGACAAGCCAGGTGATCCCTTCTTTCTTCTTTCTTGACAATGAATCAGTCTTTGCTCAATGTTTTCCAACAATCATTTTACCTGAAACCAAACACTATAAGAAATAAAAAATTTCAGACAATCATTCCTTTTTTTTTTCTTAATTTTACAAGCAACTCAATTGAGCCTACACGCCATTCTTTTTCAATCCCCAAAAGTGATGAAATAGGTCAATAACCATGGGTCAATCCTTGTAGAAAAATTTATACCAAGGAGAATTAATAGAACACAACACAAGCTTACCATTTAGGCTTAGGATTTTGGAATTTCGAATTTGACTTCTTATTTGGGGCCCACAACCTGATATGTTTGTATTTATTTCGTATTTTCCAACTATATAATTGTCATCCTCAATATTTTAAATTTTAGGCATAAATAATAATTTTTTATTGGCCTTAACTAAGTGATATCATCATAATTAAACCTTGAAAAATGATGGGTATCATATTTATTTCCAAATTAGGTAGAAGTGACAGAGATTATTTTGTTAAATATTGGTGAGACAGCAGAAATAAATCAATAATGAAAAGGGAAAAGAACAAAACGATTAGAAATACGATTTGATATTACATACATATTCATCAAACGTGAAGGGTGACTGGTAAACAGCTTGGGGCTTTTTAATTCTACAACTAATTTTTATATTTATCTAAAGAATACGATATTACAACTAGGAAAAGGTAGTCTCATGACTCATCAGGTCGACAAGGCCTCTTAGCTGGATGGCCCTACATGTTTAATTTCTTCAGGTGAACTAACCAGGTGGCTAATCTGGATGGTTCATCAGATAACGGATTGGCCATGCATTCAATTTTAATTAAGGGCATCTTTGGAACTGATGCCGTTTCCTCGGAAAATGGAGTCATATCGGTGCCAATACAGGAGATTCGGTGCTGGGGAAAATGATGTCTGTTTGGGTGGGCGTTTTTTCAAAAAGGAAAAAAAAAAAACTTTCTTAGAAAATGACACTGGTTTTACCAAAGAAAAAGAAAATAGCTCTAAAAAAACAGAATCAGTTCTAAAATTATCTAAGGCTCAGTTTGGAAGGAGTATAAATATAAATATATACAGTATAAATCTATACAAAATATAAGGTTTTACATTTTACATATTTGTATTTGTACTCCTTCCCAACGGAGCCTAAGGTGTAGTAGAAGTGATTGCAATTAGGGCTGTAAACGGATTAAGGGGAATTTGGTAAAGGGTATATCTGATCCAATCTGATAAAAAATCCAACTGATCTGAATCTGATAAAAATCGGTTGAGTTTTCAAGTGTATGATTTGAATTCAAATTCAAATATCTTATCAGATATCTGATTCGAATTTGATTGAATTGGAATTGTAATAAAAAATTATGATATAAATTTGTATACTATAATAATATATAATTATATAAATAATGTAATATTTTATAATTAATGGATCGGATCAGATTGGAGCATATCTGAATTCGATCTGTTAACTAAACGATTCAACTTTTCTGATCCGATCCGATTTGTTAGGATCAAGGAAGATATCCGAATCCAGTTCTTATCGGATCAAATTCAGATTCGAATAAGATCTGATCCGATTTATTTGCAGCCCTAATTACAATTGGGATGTGCCATGGGGGTGTGTTCTGTGGGATGTCCTGTGGGTATGCTAGGTGGGAGCAAACATGATTATAAGTTGAAATTGACTCCCCCACAAAATGCACCCCACAAAATATCTCAAACGTGGGGAACATCTCTCCATGACAAACTTTGCTATTTTATTTTTTTAAGGTAAAATTACAGGGTGTTTTATTTTGGAAGTAACGATATATATATATATATATATTTTTTTTAAGATATTTGTATTGATACTTAAGGGCTTCAACTTTCATTTGTGACAACAAGATACCTTGTACTTTCAGATCCTTGATCCTTCTTCTAATTGAAAGAGTCTCAATGTTATTGTGCCTTTCCGGTGATAGACGGCTTAGTATTTAGATGCTCCAAATCTGCATACAAGAAAAGTGAGAGCAGCAATACAATAAAGGACCCAAGACACTGAATCCACTTGAGCAATGCATAGAATGGAATGGCTAAATCCGATTGAACTGAATAAAATGGGGGTTATTAATCCTGTGTCAAGGTCTCTTTTCTCTTATACGATTTCCCTAAGATGAGATGCCATTAAATAGAGGTTAGTCCAATGCTTCTTTCCCTACTTTTGAGGCGAAAACATAATAAATTTATACATCGGAAACAAGACCAATTCAAGCTCCTTCGAATTGAGACAAGTGTTTCATTGAGGAGGGATCTCATTACTTGATCATCCGGTCCCTACACCAAGTCAAATGGCCTTTTCATTGACCATTGACCTAATAAGAGTTGGAAATAGAATCCAATGTAATCCAATAATAGTGGCATCAAAATTCATATTTCAAGTAATTGACCAAGTGAATTCGAAGGGTAAATTCTGATTTATTTTTGTTTGCAGTGATATCTCATTTGCCCTGATGCAAACGTAGGCCGGTGTAAATTCTGATTTATTTTTGTTACCTATTTTTATTTTATTTATTTACATTGGAGATAAAGTAAAATAAAACCTGAACCAAAGTAAATATTATCTAAAACAGATGTAAACCAGAATTTGCATTCTTCTTATTTGCACTCTAATGCATTTGTATTAATACAAATGAAATTTCATCACGTTGGGATCTGCTCCTCACAGAGAGCATCTCACACTGATTTCACAGACACATTCCACCGTGTATCGAGAACATCTCCCATGAATAATAATACATAAATACAGGCTGAGTTGGGTCAGGTTGAGGGTCAACCAAAGCCCAACCTCAAGTTTAGGCTTAGTCTGATTCAAGATTAAGTGCAAGTTTATCAACCTAAGCCCAACCTGAGCTTAACTCAACATCTCAAGCTAGGTTTGGGTTTGGGTGTGTTGAACTTTGTAGCCCAATTTTCAAAGCTCAGATCCGCTCCTTGTAGAGCGCACCTTACCAGGATGTCACAGCCCCATCCCACCGTGTAATGGGAACATTTCCCCATGAATAACGACACAAATGATGATATGTTCCCAATACACAGTGGGATAGGTCTGTGAGGTCCTTGTGAGGAGCAGATCCCGATTAAGTAGAATATATTAGGGGTGCTCATGGTTCAGTTTTTTGAACCAAACCAACCTGATCAATTTTTTAAATATCTGAACTGAAACCGAACCAATGCACTCAAAATTAAAAAAAAAAGGGAAAAAGCCTTCCCTCTTGCAGTCTTGCATCCCTAGTTAGTTCAATTTTGAATACCCAATCCACCTCGTTCATTTTATTTCTTTTTTCTTTTGTATCCTCAAAACAAATGATTTCTATCTATATAGAAACATGTCAATAAAGCCCAACAGCCCTAGTGAAGATGTGGATGATTTTACTTATTTATCAGCAAAAGAAGCATACAGACAACCAAAACCATTTCATGCATGGGAGAATAAAAATGCTAATGAGTAGCGTGCTCTGCAAATGTCACCTATATGAATCATAGTAGGGTTCACCGGTTCAGGTTGTTTTGTTTACAAAATTTCCAATGCCTTGATCCCATGATTAAGCAGAAGTCCTTGAAAAGCACAGCCACTTGGCTGCATCTTTGACATGGCAGTGTGCTGCAAAATTGGGTATCTGTGATGGGAGGAAGACATCTCGAGTCTCTTCCAAAGGGATGGATTTCAGACCTTCAGGTCCTTAGACATGACCTTCCACAGCTGAAATTATCAAAAAAAAGTCAGCACTTAAATTTTCTCGAAGACAATAATTTGTTCAAGACAAACAAAGGAAGATAGGAATGCCATAATCATACTAAACCTTTGTTCAAAAGAAAAAAAGAAATAGGAGATGGATAATTTCACAACCTGTTGAATAGATGTTCC